GTCGACCCTCTGCCGCTGACAGTGTCATCCATAATGTCCGCAGCGAGCGCGAGTGACATTTGCACCCCGGCGCTCTTTCCGCGGAAGAATTTTACCGCACCTTTCCGGGAATACTTTTTACGAGTTCTTTCCCTCGTCAGAGGCAACACAAAAATATAATACGTTAACTCTTTCGCGTAAAGATAACGATAGCAGAGAGATGAAATAGATGGGTTTGATCGTAAAAAATATTCGCAAAAAACATCTGGATTAAATACGCTCGACTGTCTCTGAATCCTTTTCTTGAGTATTGTTTTTGAAAGAAGCACACAGACGAAAAAGAAAATTAATCAAAGTTCATTTCGAACGTTGTTGTCGTAAGTCGTCCGAGCAGACGACGAGAGCAACGATTACATAGCTTTTTCCGATATTTTCTCTTTTCTGCCGTGAAAACTTTCGCATCTACTAGCCGATATATTCTGAAATCCATATTATCCTATGGTATAAAATATCGCTGACGCAGATTTCGACGAAAATACAGCTTTGCGTGCGTGGATATCACGGGGGTATGTGCGTTCACCAAATATCTCAGCACGGCAGCGGCGCTAATTAATTGGCTCGTAAATTAACGCGGTAACAATACGCTGGCGTGGGTGGGCTCTCTGCACCACAGCCACCGAATCACGGAATTACCGGCACGCGTTGCGAACGTAAGAATATGCGTGATGTATGCGGTATTCCGGCTAGCCGCCCTCTCGATCTATTCCCGCGTACAACGCGCCACCCCCGAATGCCCTTCGCATTTCGTTCCCTTCGTCGCTTCTCTCCTGCATCTTCCCGACGATTTTAACGCCGCCGATTGAGGGTGTGTTTTATGGTAATACGACAAACTCGAAGCTTACGTTTCATCAATGACAAACTAATCTTTGAAGCAATGTAAAACACGTTTTTGTCACATCTAGAAGAGGGAAAAAAGAGAGAGAATCGTAAGTCTATTCATCGCGATTTTGTAAAAATAGACAAGGTTAGCTTGGCATTCTTAACGTGTCACATAGACGCTATATCGTATCGCATAAAAGCAGGTCGCGAAGGGTCACAAATTGAGTGCACCTGTTGCAACAACGCGGCAACTTATGTACACGCTTCGTAGGTACTTCACACGGCCGTCAAACCGAGGAGAGTATTCACCTTTATTGCGCCATCATGCTGAAAGAGAAGTCCAGAATTTTGCAATCTCTTGTAAAAAATTGCGTCGTGCGTTGATGATGTACTTCCTGCGCTCGCACGCACACAAGTTGCGTAACTATTTGTAAGAAGCATATTGATTGTTTCAATAATTTAATAATATAAAAATAAAATGTTTTCTCAAAACTTTTCATGATAAAGTTGAAAATATTCTCGTACAAGTTAAAGCTTTTAAAATTTTTTTTTAAATAAATATGTGTAATTAATCAAAACTGGTTTCTTAATGTAATTATTTCAGCAATTTTTATATTTACTTTTTTATGTTTACTTTTTAGTAATTAGTAATAATTTTTTGACCGAATAAAATTTTATTAAAAAATTTTTCAATATTTTAATTAGAAAAGCTTGTTGTGTTCCTTTATTTATGGTTTATACACTTTTATGGTTACATCTGGAAACGGCATACAGCAAAATATCAAATAAAACCGCACTGACGCAATACCGATAAAAATTTAAAAACATGAGCTTTGCTTCCACATTCTCCACTTTTGTGAGGTTTGAAATTTTTTAAAATTTTGTTAAAACAATGATCAGCGTACAAGAAGCGGAGGAAGAGATCGATCGCGGTACAATACCGCGCGTCTCGTTTGAACGAGAAAGTATAAGCGAAATATCTATGGAATACCCGGCGTGTCGTATTTCCGCATGACATATCGATTTGTTCTCCCCCCTTCTATTGTTCATCGACACCGACATTGTTCCGATCTGCGGTTTTTTGTCGCGGTAATCGTTAAGTGCGTAACAGCCATCGCGCAACAGATAAGCCTTTTAACACTTTACGGACTCAACGTTATATAATGCCGCGTGCACGCGTGCGATTCGTCGTCGTGCGGCGCCGCGTTGTGTGTTATTGAGTGGAAGACTGATAACACAGCGGCAGAGAAGCCGCCCTCGATGTAACATCGCGGCTGCAACGACGAAATGCAACCGCGATAACAGCGTAATCGAGAACATAGCGAATATAGCGCAGGGATGTTATTGACGTGATCGACGTTGCGTGAGAGACGACGCATTCGGAAAGCGACAGGAAGCGGACGAGCGAATTTTCTCGGCGATACTGATTTCTCCACACTGATTGTGAGAGAAAAAAATGACTGCAATTATATATATATACCTTAATTTAATTTATGATCATTTTCGTTGTCAGCTGTAATTTTTTTTCTTTAAAATTATAAAAATATAATTATTATTAAATTATAACAGTAATAATTATGAAAATAGAACCACTAACCATAGTTATTTTATCATGTAATTGTAGTCACAAATAATCAAACACTTTTCTCTCAGTGTACAATTTTATCCCAACATTCTGATTGCTACGGCAATTCTATACGAATTGTATTTTTATGAAAATAATTCATCTACAGTCAAGGATTTCACTTTTTCCTCGATACAAGACCAATAAATACGAGTGTGAAGATTTCATTGACAGAAATAAATATCAATGAATATTTCACTTATCTTCAATACAGACACTTATATTTTGCTTTTTTTCCTTTTACATCTCATAATTACGGCCAATGGAAATAAAATGTAAAATCAATAACAATTATACATATTTGCAACGTATAGCTTTAAAAATTTTCAATATTTTGAACTAATATTTATAGAAAACTTTTATATTTACAGACTGAAACTACCATATAACTATTTAAATTAAAAATATTATTTTTTTACTTTTAAGATTGCTGTTCACAGTCAATAATTTAATATTGATTGAGTCACTAATCTACTACTAATACTCTACTACTGATTCTTTTTACTAACAACTAATTCCTTTCAGAGAGATTTCACTGAATGTAGCTTTATACTAGAAATTGCTATTGTACTTTGTTCTTTTGCTTTTAAACGATAGTATACATATTGTTTTCGTTTAACTTTTTGTTTGTATAACGAATTTTATATATTTTATCATGTACCATGGTAGAATTTTCACTGTTATAAGCATATGATGAAAAAGCATTATGTAACATGATTAAATAATATTCTCATGTGTGGGTGTGTTAAGTTGCACATTTTTTATTTTATATCGTAATCTATTTATATCAATAAAAATTTTATATTCCAATCATTGAATGACGCTACAGTTTAGCTTTGGCCTTCTTTAAACGTCGCTCACAATCAAAATTTTATTTCAAATAATATTTATTTTTTACATATGTTAAAAAATTTCGATAGCTTCGGTCATTAGTGATCACTAGAGCGCCATCGAAAATGTCGATTATAGGTGATGACCACAGCGATCGGCATGTTAAAAAGAATAATCCCCGGCCGGCATCATGTTCAAAATCGGGATATAAGACGCCATTTAGACATCATAAAGAAGTCTTCTCTCAGATCTTTAAGATGTCTTTAAGTCATCTTATATCCCGATTTTAGACATACATATTATTATCCGAGATCATCGTGTAACTATAATACATGACGATCCGAAGGTGTCCTAATCCTCGAATAAACGCGATTGTTTGCGAACGCATGACGCAATAATCGAAGCGTTAATCCGTCCCACGTGCGTGCTCTTTTATTATTTACGCTATAATCGCGACGACGTTGACGGCGTTTTTACATTGGTCGTTTTTACGTGACAAGCCCCCGTATTAAGATCCACGCGTTGGCAACGCTATACGTTCCGGCTTATCTTCGACGGCGTTTTATCTGCTACATACTTTATGCAAGTCCGACTCGCATTCCTTTCATCGGTAACAAATGAGCTGGTGTGCGAAACCGCCACGAAGCCGCGTTACGCCGTTGGCAGCTGAACGGAGACAGCGCGCAAATCGATGCTCGCGCATTGATTTATTAACGCGATACGCCGCGTCGTACGGTAACGTCACACTCGCTCGGCATTGTGATACACTGGTTGCCCGGTAATAAACGCGAAAGCTGAAATAACTTTTTTTCCAATTCTCCGAGGTCTATTTCTAGATCTTGGATCCACCGTCTCTCCGTTAAATTCATTGAACTTCTCTGACAGTCTTTGTATTGGATCCCAAAACAAATTTATCTCGACTCACAATTTTGCTATAATAGAATCATTGAGATAATTGAAGTACCAGATGTTCTATTTCTAGCATCCGTGCAGCTTGCCGAATTGTTTACTAATTTGAGTTTATTTGCAATCGCAATTGTCAATTAAACGCTAAGAATAACTGGTCTCGATGCGCCAATTTGCAAATCGGAAAACTATATTGAAATTTCGCAGCACACCTAGATGGTGTTCACAGCTTGCAGCACACCGATAATAATTGACAGCGAGGTAGATTAAAAATTCGACCGCGGTGGTGCGAGCGATGGAAACAGGGTGAAGAAGAAACTCGAGTTTTCCCGAAAACGACGTTACGGAATAAAGGGTTAAGTAGTTGTGGCGTCTGGGACGCGACATCAACGCGGCAGCCAGAGGAAGAGACTCGACTCGCAGCTGTATCGGCTTGCGGCCGGGCCCATTAGCGTGACGCGATGCATCGTCTACATAAATACCCACCGACGCTGCGGCCGGTACCACCGGTTGCCACTTTGCGGCAACGCGAGCGAGCGAGCGAGCGAAGAGACAAGCTAACAGACGCAACGCACGAACGACCGGGCGCAAGCGCTCTGACGTAACGTTATATCACTCTCGAGGCTTTATACATACTCTATCGAGAGGAGGTCTCCCTTCCCCCTACCCCAAGCGTGGCTCCATGTGGCGCCTGAGCAGCGCCGGTGGGGGTACAGCTCTCCTCTTATGCGAGACACCCTCGGTGGCGACGATGTCAAACTCAGTCGCGAGCCGAGTATCGTGTCGCTCGTGCGTGTATCGTATCGTGTCGTGTCGTGTCATCGTGCGTCTCCGTATTGCCGTTGTATTGCGCGCGCGATACGATAAGACAAAGGGCCGCGTTTATCTCGCGGCCTCTCTCGTACGTGAGAGAAAGAGAAAGCGAGAGTGAGAGATAGACCGAGCACACGCCAGGTTCGTCTCCACGATTCTCACCCCCACTCCTCTCTCTCTCTCTCTCTCTCTCTGCTCCCACTCTCTCTCTCTTTACCGTTGTCACCTTGCGATTCGCGTAGGTGGAAAAAGTAGTCGAGTGAATTTAATTCGCGCAGATAATGTTCTCTCTCGCGGATCCTTGATTTTCTCTCGTATGCATGCAACGCTCCACGATATCTCGTCGCCGCCGGCGGTGGTTCACAAGTATTCGAGTTTTTCGCGAAATACTCCGATATCAGGATGATTTAAACGCGCAAGCCGCGACGACGGATTCTCACGAAGCGTTCCCGGTCCTTTTCCAACCGGGAATATCGGAAGATTTGGTATACGTGCGTGAGCCAAAATCGATAACCCGTGGGGCAGACACACGAAACGTTCTGGCAGACGCGGCGCGACGCTACGCCACGAATCGCGACACTGTGCGAATTATACGTACACGTTTAACCCTTAATTAAATTTCTCTCCGCGAATTTTCACATCGAGGATGCCAAGAATGTAGTATGCCACCAGTGTCTTTATCTGTTCTTCTGCTTGTACTTCAAACTTTAAATAAAGATTGTTACCTTGCTTAAATCAAGACTGTTATACCTTGCTTTATATTTCAAGCGTTATTATAGCGTTAATATATCGAAATCAAGTATCCTATTGTGATTAATTTGAAATAATTTAAATATTCTAATCATTTTTTATATATATATAATTAATTTTATGTAAAGTCAGTGTATCAAAAACTTGACGTATACGAGTGAATTTAGAATTTAAGGGTTAAACGCGTATATTTTTTATTGACATTTTTGCCTTTCGGTTATTGTAAAATTATATATTTTCATAATAGGCGTAAATTATGAAGAGATATTTCGGGAAATTTGGTTTTCCCGAAAATATTCGACGGGTATCTCGACTTAACGGATCTCGCTGTAGACTACTATTTTTGCTTATGTTTGTATTTATTGTATTGGGTAATCGAGAATACACAATAAAACAGTATGTTCACGCATGATGAATTTTATCACTTTATAAATTGTTGAAAATATTGCCCGAAAATAAAGCCTTATATGAAAAAGTTTTATTTTACATTTTAGCTTATTTTTTCATGTAAAATCACCCCGGTTGCACTACTAATTTAAGAAACATCCTGTATATATCTGCACAGTAGAATGTAACGCTTTACAAATTTTGATTTCGCCGCGACGTGCTAAGTCTCGTTTTTTCGGGGTTCCATCATTGAAACAGCCACGTGTCCCTGATCGATGCAGGTTAACGAAGTTCGTACGTGCAACGATTATGTAGATCGTTAATCCGTTGGCGACGAGCTAGAAAAGTGACGGAAGCGGAAATATAAAACTGAGGGGAGATGTAGATGGGGAGGGATGACGGGAAGAGGGAGATGAAATGAGAGAGAGATAAAAGGAAAGCGTGTGATTTCCCAGGAATGCACACAACAATCGCGGATACCAGTCCACATAACTGAGGGAAAAGCATGCGGTGTGTACAGCGCACACAGAGAAATCTTAACCCGGGTGCAATCCCGATAGTACTGATGCATCCCGGCGCTTCGAGAATCGCCACCGATCGCGTTGTCTTAACATCGTGTCTCCATGTAGGTACATAATATAAGTACACAATACTCCCTGTACTCTGCGCGCGCATATGGATTTTCGAGAGGAGAATTTAAGTTTGCATTTTCATTACGACATTACCGTCTTGTGCGTTTCGTAACGAGGCGTTTAGCGAACAAAACAAACGTTTATACTTATATAAATAGCCACGTAGTTTTATTCGAAAGCTAGAACACGTATTTTTGCAACGAGCAAGATGCAAGGAATTTAAAATTTTACTATGAACTTTTGCTAAAACTACAGTCTGAAAAATATTTGTGTGGATTTAATACCATGCGGTGTATCTATATAATTTTCGCTGAATTGGTATTAATATTGACATCAACACGATGTAGATTTAAAACCTATGGGATTTAAATCCACACATATGAAGGTGTCGATGTAAACATCAGGGGTACAAATCCACACTAGGTTGGTGTTAATACTAACATCATTAATACCAACACGAGGAGGCTCATACAAACACCGCATAATATTATATCTATTTCGATTTTTTAAAGTGCATCGATTGGAATGTGTTTTCAATTAAGAGGATTGCGTTGTCTGTTGCAATCAAGACACGTCTTATTGGATTGGTACACAGTTTGGATAAATCGCGAGATATATGAAGACGGGATGATAGTTATTTCGAATCCAATCGGTGGTGCTTTGCCCGCCGAACCGGCGAAACAGACTGGACCAGATGTTGTCTAAATCCGTACCATCACGTCGACATGAACCTTTCTCCACGTCTCTCTCGTCTCTTTTGCTTCTCGGTACTACTGTGCAGAGCCATTTTCTATCCTTGCTACTACTAGCTGTCACCGTCAAGACCAAACATGCGAAGATTCCTTATCTTTCTGTCTAAAGTAAGGTGTATACCGGCGAAACTTTCCACTTTTCACATTTCAAGATTCAAGAAAGAAAGAAACAGACGAAGAAATTCTTTATGTTCAAGTTGTGATCAGTTTGTCCGAACATTTTTCTATTTTTTACTAAAAGTAGCAATTATTTACTAAAAGTTGCAATTTTTTACTAAAAGTAGAAGTTTTAGGCGCGATCGATTGGGCACGCATACGACGGTAAAGGGACAACTGCCATCACAAATTTGGATGGATTTATCGCGCTTCATCTCGTTGCTCGCTCGCTTCATTCGCGCGTACAGTCGCATGCGTGCGACGACGACGGACGGCGCGTGTATTTCTGGCGGAACGTCAAGTGGGATAAGAAGAGTATTCAAGAGTATTTCTCAAAGCGGTTGAGAGGTGCACATTGAGAGGGCTTCCTCGCAAAGGTCGAGTTTCGAGGGACTCGAAACGCGAATCGAATATCATTTACACGTTCTAAATTCCTAACGTTTTCCAAGGGAAAAGAAAACGTACAGTGAATTGCGATTACAGTTGTCGATGCAATTGATGTATGTGGACGTCGTTATTCTTGCTGAAGGGATTAATGCGCGAATGAATTTAAACATATCGAACTTTCGTTTCCTTTGCTTTCGCATCAGCCGAGAAGGTCATTTAATTTATGATTCTCGATGATTTGGAGAGTTTTTCCTTAGAGTGTTCTCTGAAATTTTATTTATTTACTTATTTAATGACGCGCGAAAGTCCGAGATTATATTTATTCAATGTCAATCGTGCGTGAATTTGCTTTCTTACGTACAAACTTTCATTTGCTGTTCCATCGTTTAAATGTTTATCTTTGTTAAAAGATGAATTTTTTCTTTTGATTTCTCGATTCTAAAGAGTAATAAATTGTGATTTCTTAAAGGTTTTTACTCTTCCGTCAATAATGATGGATTTTAAAGGCACGATTGATTTTTTAGTTAATAAATTTCTGGTTCATAAATTTAAATCTGTAAAAAATAAATAAAATTTAATTGTATGATAGTAAAAATTCGTTAAAGTTTCCACAAGTATATAAGATTTTTTTAAGGATTTTATCCAGTCTGGAACAATATAAAGACCCAGTCTGGAACAATATAAAGACGAAGAGTGAAAATTTCACATTGTCGACGAAGATTTGAAGATTTTCAGAATCTTATTTATATGTATATTTATACGCGAGAAAGACTAAATCCAATTTCGCGACGTCAATATGTTACTGAGGCAGTTTCAGTTGCGTTGTTGGGTTTACCGTTTCGGTTTTACCGCACATACTATAAAACCGTACGAATCGAATGTCCAAGTTTACGGTTTGTTATGCGGAACGACAAATCACTTCAGACATTGTCGTTGATAGGCGAAACGATTACGTTGAAATCCTGCAATAAATTGTACGCGTGACATGTTGGCAAAACCGCATTTATTTCTCATATCACTGCGTACGATTAATGTGTTTGTCTTTGTAATTGTCATCATATAAAAACCCTATATATTATCGAGTGGTGGAATTCTTTAATCTTTATCTTAATCTATTTTGTAAGACATTTATCGGCATCAGTGATATAAAATTGATTATACTTAACAAAATGTAATATTACATTTCCAGTTTTGGCGTAAAACTCCGTTTCGAGACCGAATAGTAATTGACGTGATTCAAAAGTGTAAAAATGATATATACACTGAGAAACTCATTTAGTTGAATTAATTTCTTGTTTGGAGTTGGGCAAACAAATCCTTGATTGACGCAATAAAATAATTTAGTTGAAGCAAAGCATTTAATTATTGTAACATTTTATTACTTGTTTCTGATAAACATTGACATCTGATAAAGTTGTTTATCAGAAACAAGTAAAATGTTGCAATAACCGAATATTTTGTTTCAACTAAATTATTTTATTGTATCAACCAAGGATTTATTGTTTGCTCAACTCCAAACAAGAAATTATTATACTGACAGAACGGTTTTATGTATAAAGTATAAATTTAGCTGTATATACACAGAGAAAAAGATTTTTTGAATTTAACAAATTTTATTGTATCCAAATAAATTTGTTATTTGGAATGGTCCAAACAAACCAATGTTTAAATCAATAAGTGCGATTGTTTGAATTACAATGCTACAATAAAGTTTCAATTTCGACGACTTGATACTAATTCTTGATTCCGGCAGGCGGCAAGAGATTTGTCGGTCTCCAGTTGAACACTAGTCGAGAGATGAAAACTGTGGTCATACATGATTATTTTGATGATTCAACAAAATTATCTTCACAGATCTGTATCTAATTAAATTTTCAGCGAAATTATTTTTTCCGTGTAGGCATAAGATTTTGCTTAACAAAGATAACAGAAAGTATCAATATTTATTTATTCTATTGTACGTGTGTTATTTGTCGCCATATATATTTCTAATTTTTAGGACATTTCACATTCTATGGGTTTTTAAAAATTATTTGGGTTTTTAAAATTATTTGGCAAAGGAAACTGGCACATTCCCAATCATGTCATTGTGCTAAAATAAAATATCCCACGTCATCAATTATACGTTTTTACGTCCGTTGCTAAACGTACGCTACGGTAATACGCGGTGGTTAGTTTCTTGCAGTTTTCAATGACGCGCGCGATGGAAGTTGTTGTCGGTTCGAAGACAAAAGCGACGCAAGAGAACGAGCCGGTGTCTGCCGACTGCAGGTGGATTCTTGAGTGAAAAAGTGGAAGCGCGAAAGGGGAGGAAAAAAGAAGAGAGCGGGAGTGAAACAGTCTTCGACTGCGTGGCTTTCTCATTATCGCGATTGTTCCGCAATGAGTACCGACAATGGCCGACACAACGACGATTTTTTTTCGTCGCTGGAAAGAGGAAAAGTCCCCTTCCCTCCTCCCCCGCGGCCTTTCCGTTCCTTTCGCTCGTCGGGTTACATCTCTCCGTCGTGATTGAACGTAACTGAAACGAGGTTATAGAGTGTCAATATTACATCATCGGTTCCTGTCTTGTTTTCCTACTTTGAAACGGAATTTCGTTGCCGCCTTGTCTTGACACCGAACAGAAAGATTCCGTGAACCGATGAAGCTGAAACCAGGTTTAAATTAAATTAACCTGCAAGGCAAGCCTGTGCTTTTTTATATTTTTGCAGATGAACTGTAAAAGAAGTATCGTTAGCAGAGCGACTTTTTTTTTCAAATCTGTCGAAATTATGCAGCACACGCGTGTACATCGGTCGAGAGGTTTGGCGCACATTCAAAAGTGCGGGTTCCAGTTGGACCTGGCATTTAAACGTCCAGATTTGTGCCAAATTTTTTTCTCCAGTAGTTCCTCGCGGTCACAGCTTTACGATACTACGCAGCGATAAATCTGTTCCAATTTCTTTATGCAACTGAAATGAGAACTCGAGAAACGTATTCATAAACGGAAAACTTAATCCGAGCGTGAATCACGGGAATATCAGGTGGTACCATTTACCGTCTGGAAGGATTTCGATAGAAGGGAGACGTGAATACGATCGATAGCTGGTGTCTTTTCTGATCATGTGCAAAATGTCGCTCGTTTAATAATTATTAGAATCCGATCGAAATTTCGATTTCGGTCAAAAATTAGGGTTTCAGTTTGATTTCGGTTTCGGCCGAAATTAAGAGAAAATTAAGAGATTTCGGTGGGTAAATCGAAACTGTACAAGTTACAACGCGCCGGTGAGCGTTCAAAAAACAACTGTTCGATTTTAATTATCAACTCATTGATTAAACTTAAGATAATTTAAATATAACTTTGATGTGATCTTAATAATAACTGTGATTTGATTTCTTTAAAAGTTGAGGATGCAATATTATTATATTATTATAGTTAAATATTTTAATAAAATCTTATTTTTTAAAGAGTACATAAATTTGTCACGATTTCTGAAAATTATACGATCTCTGTAAAATTAATCCAAAAATGTCGATTTTTATTCCGGCCGAAAAAATGTGACTCCGTTAGCTTCTCTCTCTCTCTCTCTCTTTTTTTTTTTTATTAAGATTTATCTGAGTTTTGGTTTCTGTTTTATTTTCGGCCGAAATTGAATGACAACCAAATATTCGTTTTCGGTTTCGGCCGAGTCAAAGTGTGGTTTCGGTCGGACTCTAAT